TTTTATTTCAATTTGCATAATTAGCTCAACCCAGGATACTTATAAAAATTATAAACATGGTTCACAAAAAGTATTAATACAATACTGTGCCCTCAAAATCAAGTTCATGTTTAGTTCCCACTATATATTATGGGAAGTGTTATTGTTGTTTTCCCCTACAGGTTAAGATTAGCACAATTTCTTAAGATTGAAATTTGATAGAGTAATTATATTTTTTTCTGGATTTTCCTAGAGATTTTAATTTCATTAACTTTATATTTTCGTCCAAAATTACAACCTATCTCTCATGCCCAAATATTTTAAATTCTCAGTTTTGTTCAGCATATATCTTGTATCTTTAGGACTGTCAGGAATAATTTTTAATATATTTTTTACAATATACATTTTTAATATTTTTCAGCTCTGTGTCAAGTGTGTTACCTCATTGCAAAATAAAAGTATAATTTTAAATACATTATTAAAAATTGGAATGTACAGACAATTTAAAAGAAATCAATACTCCAACCTGAAGATAATCACAGTTAACATGATGCATTCCTTTCTAGTTTTTGTTCATTTGTCATTATTTTGATAAAACACTTTCAGTTTCTTTGATTGCCTTTCCTGGTGTTTGTGAAATATTGATTTATTCATTTAGTCAACAAATACACATTTCTGGCTGACCACATGCTAGGTACTCTCATGCATGGAGAATAGAAGTAAGCAAATAGTCCTCAGATTAATGAGAGAGACAACTACTAATCAGATAATCATAAAGATTTTCTTTGAGGAAAAGGTATAAGGGACATGATAAGGACAATGGTTCCACTGAAAAGAGCACTAAATAAGAGTCAGCAGGTATGAGCTTTCTTCTTGACCCACAAACTATATAACTGTGCAAAGCTCTTCCATTTTTATGCTTCTGTATAAAATAATTCTACTAAAGTCTAAATTTTCATTAATCCAATACCAGAAAAACCCCACAAAACTAGTTCTCTAACAAGTTAATATTACTAGCAAATGTTCAACCAACTCATCTTTTAAATATTCAATTGCTCAAATTTCCTCTTAAAAGTATGATTAGTAGCACAGAATTTAAAAATCAATGACAGGGATGATGGCATTGAGTTATAACATGTGTACGTTGAAGGTAGTTTCTCTGAACAGTCAGAGCAAAAGCTGTGGAGTCAGGCACTCCGGAAGTCACATTCTGCCTCAGATAGTTAAGTGGTTTGAGATAAATACATTTTCTGGAATTCAGTTTCTTTATAACACTAACTTACAATATTGGTGTGAGATCATGAACAATATATCTAAACACTGAGTAGCCTTCCTGACCCATAAGTAGACCTCAAATACTACTCATAAATATCATCAGGTTTTAAAACAATCCTTACTGAGAACTTTACCAAGTGATTCACACACAGCCCAGGTAGAATCAGAAGCAAGTGGCAGACAGGCCTTTAAAAAAGGAAATACAATCTGAAATTTCACACATGCTTACACAGGAGAAAATACTTTAATATAAACATTTAAAAGAAACATGGGGTATAAAAATGACCCTATTCATGATTCCCAATAGGACAAGATTAAGACTTAATTCTGAATTAGTGGTAATAAGCTGTTCCTGATCTGATGTTTTTGTTTGCTTTCCACTTAGTAAAACTCTTTCATAAGTCTAGTTATATTTGTTAAAAATAACAACTATCAATTGAAAATCCCTTACTGTTTTCTCAGAATTAATGGTTTTATTGAATTTTTCATGTAGTACATGATCATGTTAGTGAGTTCACTTCTTAAGGAAATATGATTTACCTTGATAATTATTTTTTTAGAAACATCATATTTGAAAAAATAGGATTCGTGCAGATGCAATACCTAGTAACTCTACAGCTAAAACAGATATGTAATGTATACATATATATTATGATTGCTATACAATTATGGCTCTGCAAGAATTATCAGATCACAGGCAGAAAAGTCCATTGAAGACAAAGGAAACATTTTAAATCTAAATAGGAAGACTATTACTATTGATTATTGCTTCAGTTATACCATATCTCACTTCACAAATTTCTCAGACTTAATTACAAAATCTGAATGAAGAATTTTAAGGTAATATCTATCTATCTATCTATCTATCTATCTATCTATCTATCTATCTATTATCTATCTATATATATATGAAAGCCTAAACGAATGTTTGACCAGTAGCTATGACATGCACTGACCACCAGGGGCAGATACTCAATGCACAGCCATGGAAACATGGAGCAGACTGATGAATCTCAGAGGGAAGGGGGAGGGAGGGTGGGAAAGAGATTAACCAAAGATCTTATATGCATTCTAGAGGCCCGGTGCTTGGATTTGTGCACTGGGAGGGTCCCTCAGCCTGGCCTGCATGGATCAGACTAAAACTGGCTTTCTGACATTCCTCAAGGGGTCCTGGATTGCGAGAGGGTGAAGGCCAGGCCGAGGGACCCCCTGGTGCACGAATCCGTGCACCAGGCCTCTAGTATCATAATACTATCTTAATATGAATTACCATTTAGTTATGAATCTTTTAATACTAGTATATCTAGGCTATTCTAATTAATTCTGTTCTAGACATTTACAAAGGAGGTTAAAATTTTTAGTCCCATTAAATGTCAAAAATCTGTTGGTCTCCAGAGGCCCTTAGGGCTCCTCCTTTCTCTTTCTCCACCAAGGAGCACTGCTCTGGTTCAGTGCATTCTATTGACCAGGACTCTCCTGGGTGAAGCCACTGTGTTGAGATGAATGTTGGAGTGTGCAAGGGTGTTTCATCCCTTGGGTCCCTTTTACCATGTGACTAGATTGGTAAAAACTCTGGAGAATTCCTGAAGCAGACTTTAATTTATTTATTTATTAACTTTTTGGCTTTAGAATCTCTTCTATCTTCTCTCATTTGGAAGCTTGCCCAGTGTTATTGCCCAGGTCTAAGTCACTGGGTGAGTGGCTATACATATTGGCTAAAATTCTAGCTCAGGGCAGTTAAGGTTAATCAGACTTAGGTTTAAAATGGTGTCTTTCTATCTTTGTTTTGGCTGATGCCCAAATATAAGAGGAGCCAACCACTCCCCATGCAGAAGAGGTAGACAAAAACCAGTTTTGAGACCCTTAGTTTAACGGCAATGAGAGATTTCTTAAAATTGGGAAGGGAGAAGTTGGAGACTAGAAAATCAGTTCAGGAAGAGCTTTCCTACCAATCTGACCTCATCACACAAGCCCGGAAAAGGTTGATTCAATAAGCCACTTAGATTTAATGGTGCTTAGACTAATCAAAACCAAGAAATCTAAGGGGAATAGTTGGCCAGTTCTGTCAAATACTGTGTGATCAAAAGTTACCTCTGAGAATGGCCTGTTATTTCTGGTTATGCGAAGTCAAAAGATGCATTTATGTTTTTGTCATGAGACCATGACATAGGATCTGAGAACCAGAGCTGGTATGGACTTTACTTAAATCTTCCTGAAAGATTGGGTTGAGTAGAAAGAAACCTCAAGGGAAAAAAAAAAAAGATGCACACGTAACTCCACACACCAATGAGAAGAGAAAGGTATATTAGAGAAACTTGTAGCAATGGGTCAGAGCTTGGGAAGGGGTATATGTACAAAAGGTCCTCCACCACCATCCTGGAAACAGTCTGTTTAAAAATTGTAGAACTCAGAGAACACTAGTACGCTATTGCTGGATTACCGTGACAGGAGTAGTTAAGAAAGTGCTTTTGTGGTTTTGACCTCCTCTTAGTATTTCTACTGCAATCACAGAATTAATAATTATTAAATTGTACTTTTAATTTTTAAATAAAAGCAAACAAGTCAGTGATTTTTTTTTATAATAACATGACTGAAAATTATCTAACACTCCAAAATCTCCTGCAAAGGCCACAGCGGAGCCCTCCCAGGGCTTACTTTGAATGGGCAATGATCTCACAGGTGGGTGTGGGGCTGTGGAGAATAAAAGTTCTGCCAGGTACATTCCATTCATTCCACTAGTTCATTGTACTGGTTAAAAGTCAATTATCCAAAACTCAAGCAGAAAAAAGTAAACCCCCCAATCATTATCACTACACTTCATGCTTGTTTCAAATCACTATTATATATTTTTTGTAAGTCTTTATTGGAAAACAGGATTCCTCAGGACAATTTTTCTTATTATTCTTTATTGAGTAGGTCCTATTTAATTGTATTTTATCATTAAAATGTTAAACATGGCATTTAACATTTTTGACATCAAAATGTCTGCCAACCAATGACTTTTGAAATTATAGTGTTGTTTTTTTTTTCTTTTTCAATGGTTTACAAAACAAAAGTGAAGCATACAACTTAACAGGCAATTGTAGTGGAAGCCCTAACCTGACTTTTTTTTTTCTGTAATCAGAGTGCCGACTCAATTAAGCTTTGATTGCTGAGGCGCCCACTTCAAAGATGTCTGTCTCCAATAAACACATTGCCAGACACATGACCAAAAAAAAGCCCCTTCCTCCCCTCTCCCCCAACAACAACCAGGCTTCTTTGTTTTCAAGATCCTGGCTGATTTCAATCACTGACCACTTGGGCTACTTGCTTGTTTACCCTTCCCCTAGGGCCCTACCTTCCACCCCAATAAAAACACAACCCCAGGACCATCTGCTCACTCTCTCCTCCCCACAACCTCTCCTTGTGTGGCCCCAGGGGTGCTGGTCTCATAAGTAATAAACCTGTATTTTTTCAAAGTTTCCTGATGGTTATTGCTGAAGGGCTTCTTGCAATCGTAATAAGAACCACCCTGACGGTGCAGCCACAACATTGGTTATTGATAGGCTAAGAGCAATACAAAACACCAATATATATCAAGCACATTACCCTTGATATACTTCAAGAAAGACAACAACAAAACCAGGAAAAGGAAAAAAAGCAACCAAATGTTCATTTCCTTGCTCCCCAGAATGATTGTCTAAAGCTCAGGCGCACCGTCGGAAATCAGAGCAATGCCAAGCGGCGGAAGCTGGAAAAAGACTCACCAGAGTTGGGGTCAGAGTTGCCGTCTGCTTCGGTCCTCTTGTCCGGAGAGGCCTGGTCGTAGAATTCGTCCTGTGGCTGAACCAGAGGAAGAGGGTGTGAGATCAGGGTTCCACTACCCACCGGCTCGTGGTCTCCTAGACCACTGTCACTGCAGCTTTCCTGGGAGCCATCGGGCAGGTGAAACGTAACGCGGCGCTGCGACTACAAAGAAGACCACAGGACACGCCGATTAACACTCCTCCCCATAAGACACGCGCCGCGGAACACACATCAAAACAGCTTTCAGTTAGCAATACAGTGTAAAAGCAACGTAAACTTACATAAGTAAATGAAGCTAGGCATAGACATTTATATTTGCTATTTGCTATGTAACGTCCAACTTAAATACGAGGAAGAGTTTTAATCCCATGTAATTTAAGAACAAAAACTAATGGTAAACTGTTGAAAGTGTAGCAAGAATGGCAAAAAAGAATATCTAGACTAGTTATCAAAGTTATAGAAAATTTTTGAAGGAGGAGGAATGTGCAAACATATAATGCGGCATTTCATTTCGTTTGAATGAACACAAATTGTGTTCACTTAACTATTTTTTAGGTCGTTTTTGCAATGAAATTACAATCCCCCACTGGCCTAGATAGTCTACCAGTCATTTCAGTCATCTGCTCTAGAATAGCCCAGGTGAAAGATATTTGGAATATTATTTTGGCATCTATTTGCACAATGTGACTAACAGAAGTGACCTAAAATATGTATATGGGTACTTCCACACATGTTACTATTTTAATTAATTAAATAAAGTTGTGTATTTCAGCACATATCGCTGCTTATTTCTCTTGGTAAATATTATTTTAGCTGCCTGGCCAGTGTGGCTCAGTAGTTGAGTATCGACCAATGAATTAGGAGGTCATGGTTGGATTCCTAGTCAGGGCACGTCCCCAGGTTGTGGGCTCAACCCCATTAGGGCGTGTGCAGGATGCAGCTCATCAATGATTCTCCTTCATCATTGATGTTTCTATCCCTCTTTTCCTCTCCCTTCCTCCCTCTGAAATAAAGAATATTATTTTAGCGGATATAATCCATGAGATCTGAGAATATTTAAAGCTGAGTGGAATAAAGATGTATGACTTAAATATAATTATATAAATGGTAGTAAATGTGTTCTATATGTTGATTGCACCTAATTTTTTAAAATATATTTTATTGATTTTTACACAGAGAAAGGGAGAGGGATAGAGAGTTAGAAACACTGATGAGAGAGAAACATTGATCAGCTGCCTCCTGCACACCCCCCAATGGGGATGTGCCCACAACCAAGGTGCATGCCCTTGACCTGAATCGAACCTGGGACCCTTCAGCCTGCAGGCCGACGCTCCATCCACTGAGCCAAACCGGCCAGGCTGATTGCACCTAATTTTAATTATGCTTTAATAGCCCAAAGATCTTTCAATATCATGTCACATGTGACCACTTTTACTCAGATTCAATAACATTATGAATATATAAATAAAATCTGTAACATATAATAAATATATAATGTATAATGCAATCATTTTCTAATACCTAAAATTTGTGTTTTTCAAGAGACAATTTATAGATTGTATCAATTTTTAAAAATGCAGTTAAGAAACAAAATGTTATAAATAAATAGATAAGCTGCTACTCTATAAATTCATCTTTATAGACTGACAATCGAACATAGCCATTTTCCTGAGAGTCACAAGTTCAAATCCAGCTCAATCATAAGGGAACAGAGCTGATACCACTTTACTGCTGTTCAATGACCTGTGCAAAATGATTTGATATTTCATTACATTTTTACTAAACTGATGCCACATCACATAAACTATATTCATAAATGGTAGTAACTGAGTCTATTGTAGCACATTTCATCTTCATGCACAACTCTCAGTGCTACCATTCCCCTTTCAGTAGGTTTTGAAATGTGCCTAGGTAAGAGTTATCCAATAAGCCAAGCCTGAATATTGATATCTGAAATATATTTCTTTTTTATAAGAAAGGCTGTGCTACCACTTATCTATTATAGTATTTTGTCTCTCTTGTGAAATTAACCCTTTAGGGAAAATCAATAATACAAGTATTCTTTGTTTCTGTTTCAATGCACTCTTAATTCATCAGCATCCTTTTGTCATAAACACAGCACTAAGAACAATGACCAGGCTGCCCTTTATACATGACTAGCAAACAGTTTTTAAAGTGACTGCCCTAATCTAAAGCCCATAATTTTGGTGATTAAAATATCTTTGGTGTTAACTGTGGAGGAATCTCTCTTAGTTTTTTATCAGGTGAGTGGAAAAGAAGTCAAACAAAAGGTAAAGGCAATGGAACAGATGATTCTGCAATCTCGATAAAGCATTCCCAGAAGTCTCCCAAGCTATGAACAAGTATGTTCCATGACAGCAGGAAAAGGGGAAATTGGTATCTGTGATATTCTTCCAAACATCACTATTGTTGCCTGAAATACAGTATTTTTTTCCTCCTAAAATAATACATACATCCACAGCACCAGTGATGTCTGAATCTGGCAGTTTTACAGACAGTCATTTAAACCCTTACTTGAGCATCTACAAAGTGCTCAGTCCTGCGATTACACTAAGAATAGAAGGTAAAATATTTTGAATATAACTTTTTAAAGTATAACAACAGATTTCATCTCACATGTACTCCACTACATTTCTTTTCTTTTTTTAAAAAATATATTTTATTGATTTTTTACAGAGAAGAAGGGAGAGGGCTAGAGAGTTAGAAACATCGATGAGAGAGAAACATCTATCAGCTGCCTCCTGCACGCCCCCCACTGGGGATGTGCCCTCAACCAGGGTACATGCCCTTGACCGGAATCGAACCTGGGACCCTTGAGTCCGCAGGCCGACGCTCTATCCACTGAGCCAAACCGGTTCGGCATACTCCACTACATTTCTATACCACTTTATTAGTGTGAATTAATTATTATTTTAGTATAATTTAATTGAGATACTATAAATTAGACTGATACAATGGTGATACCAAGGTCGCTTATGAAAATACTTCCTAATTAATTTGACTTCCTAATTAATTTAAAGATGTTTAAATCTTAACTAGCAAACTTGTGCACAACTTATCAGTCTAATGGGAGGTGGGGGTGATGATACCTATGGACTAAGAATTGGAACACACCTATCATGGTACTAAGAAAACTCAGCAAGCAAATCAGTCTTTAGCTTTTATCATCATAATGATTGATGCAAGTAGACAAATGTCCAACATATCAAGGTAGATGTAAGGAGAAGATTTGAATAAATTGAAATGCAGAAGAATGTGGTACAGAAGGGTTAGAAACAGGAGTTGCAGGTGTCACCAAGGACTCAACAGTACTTATTCAGGTTTTGCCAAATAAGACCAGCTGAAAATCCAGAACCCAACCTCCTAGATGGAAGTGCTTGCTCTACAGAGACTGGCTTGGGGCAAGGTACTTTACATCTTTGAACAAGTTCCCAGCTTTGCGAAATGGCCAAATAGTACCTTTGTCAGAGGACTACTCTGAAGCTCAAATGAAATAAGAAGTGTTTCTTGTATATAATCCTTGACACATAGTGGATGCTCAATAAAAGGCAGCTGTAATTATTGAAATGTATAGCTACATATTATCTGTTAACCTCTGTTTCTATCAATATTTAGCTAGTTTTAAAGATGTGATTCCTTCACCCCAGAAAAGGAAAAGATTTGCTCTTTCAGAAAGGAAGTGGCTGAAACCCAGAATGATGGTGTGCCTCGCTCGCCCTGTGCCCCTGGCTCATGTCAGCTCGGGGCCTCTGAGCGGCAGCTGCTCTGGGGAAGGAGGGATAAGGAAAACCAACAGTCTAGAATACATGGTTTTTCCTCCAAGAATCTGAAGGTTTCCTCATTATTCTTTCAAGAAACCTACAGTTGTTTGTATATTTGAAGAGACAAAGAGGAAGACATTTTTTACTTACTGCCTCTGGGAATTTTGCTTTTGGGTAATCCCTATGGAAATAGGCACAATCTGGGTTATAAATATAGTCAAATCCTGCCTGACTGAAATGGGACAACACATGGTATGAGACTGTTTCAGGCTTTCCACTTAGCTTTTGTTTTTCTAAATCTATTTCTTACCCATCCCGTTTTCTCCCATGGGAAACTGTTATTATTATTAATAAATTGTTGTTACTGGCTATGTCTGGTTCATGGTTCGAGTGTTACCTTTGTTTATCTGATTTATCTCTGACAGGTTAGCTCCAGGTCCCTGGCTGCCCCAGGAAAGAATAAGATGGGAATAAGTAACTTGTAAGACTGTTTCATGTTATGTTCTCAGAGGGCTGCCAATGTGAATTCTGACCAAGCAAACCTTTCATGAGAGGCTCCTTACTCTACACAAGCCTAAGAGACCAAGGATACAAATGTACACAAGTCCCGGATCCTGCAAGTCAAAAGGTGCCACACTGGTTTGATTTAAGAAACATCACCAAGCACCTTCACAATATTTTTTGTTACAGGTTAGTAGAGAGGCAAGAGAGGGGAAATTGAAGAGGCTCAGGAAGATATATGTGTTCCTGCACTGGGCACTATTCTTCAAGAAAAACTGAAAGAATGAGTCTCCTAAGATACCCCAGTCAATCCTTGAATACTTCTCTTGTGTGTTTCTTATTGCTATAGAGTATTATTCACCAATGAATGACTCACACTCAAGCTCACAATTCCAATCCCATTAATCTAGAGGGATTCTCATCTGCTAAGATTTGAAGTTAAAATTCATTCTGTATTTTAATAAAATAGCAAAATGTAGGAAGAAGTGTTTAATAAGTGGTTAATTAATAAATTATGTAATACTAGAGGCCCAGTGCACGGATTTGTGCACTGCTGGGGTCTCTCGGCCTGGCCTGCGGGAACTGGGCTGAAACCGGCTCTCCAACATCCCCTGTTGGGTCCCCAATTGCAAGAGGGTGGTTCTCGGTTGACGCACCCCGGAATCAGGCTGCCTCCTCTCTGGTTCTGGGTGTGGCACCTGAGAACCACAGCTGGCAAGTAACTGCAGCTTGGCAGCTCCTGCATTGAGCGTCTGCCCCCTGGTGGTCATTGCACGTTATAGCTACCAGTGGGCCAGTTGAATGATCGGCTGGTTGTTTAGGCTTTTATATATATATAGATAACATTAAATAAATAACAATAATTAAAATTATATTAAC